ACATCATATTCAAACTATTGAAAACCAAAGGGAAAGAGAAAATAATCTTGAAGGCAGTCAGAAGAAAAAAACACTAAATGTAATGGCAAAAAGTTAAGAGGTTTACTTTCAGCATGATGAAAGTGTTGAAATATAAACAGAGTCAACCAAAAATTCTATAACTAGTAAAAACATCTTTCAAATATGAAGGTTAAATAAAGACTTCTTGAGAATAAAGTAAATTGAGATAATGTATTACCTATTTACCTCTACTGTAAGAAATATGAAATTTCTTCAGGCAGAAGGAATGTGAAACCAGATGATTGTAGAACTATAGATAACTTTCCACAGTTACCTATAAAGACATTTTTCTTATTTTAGTCACTCTAAAAGAAAACCGATTTCAAGAGCAAAATCATAGCCATGTATTGTGGGTTTATAATATATGTACAGTGTATTGCAATATTCTCCCACTAATGGGCACCAAATTTATTTTTACTTTCCTGGTTTCTATAAAGAAGGCTACAGAGGCCTAATAGAGCTGGTCTTATATTTGGGTACTTTCATTTCTCTGGGACAGATTCCAGGAAATGAACTGCTGAAAAGGTTATATTTGCAATGTTAATAAATGTTGCCAGATCACTGCTTAAAGAGCAATGACCTAACATTTATACTGACAATGAAGTATAAAGCCCTTATCCTCATATTCTTACTAATAAATACCAATGGTTTTGTTCACTGCCTGTAAGATTCATCACTTCTGGATAGTTATGTTGAAATTTCTTATAATGATTGAAGACTTGCCAATTCCTCCAAGTGACTCGCATATTCAAAATGACCACTGGTTGACAAGTATCATCTTTTTACAAAGACCTTTTAACATTATGTATTACTTCTTCTTATCCAGTCTGTTATATTCAAATGTATGTGTATTTACTGATACCAACATTGCTGGAATACCTTCCTTTTGTTAAGCATCTGCCAGCTATATTTTTCTCCAGCCTTTTCAAACTTTTCATGTTTACTAAAACATACATAGTTAAAAGCAACTATATGACTTGGTTTTATAATTTTAAAATCTAATCTGAGAGTCTCCGGTTTGAAGTGAGTTTAATATACTTTCTTTTATTGTTATTAATGATGTGATTGTAATTTACTCCTATACCCTTATTTTACTTCTATTTATCTGTTATCACTTGCTTACTTACACTAGAGCTTAATTGATTAGAAAAGCAATTATCATTTTGCTTTGCTAGACAATTTGGGCTGGGTTTGATGTGGACAACTTGTCTCTGCTCCACCTGGTTTCACATGAGGCTGCTTAACTGGGGGCTGAAGGGTGGTGCTGGCAGTGAGGCAAGGTTGAGGGCCAGGGTCTTTGATTCTCCTGCACATGCTTCCTTTTGGGCTGCATGACTTTTCCCACAGCATGAAGTCTCCAAGAGATCTAATTCTGGAAATACTACTTGGTATCACTACTAATACTCTTGAGGCAGGGCAAAGCTCTGGAAAAATATGTGGACAGGCTATGCTATAGAGGGTCATCTTTGGAAAATAGCATTGGTTACATTTCTATTTACTATCTTTTGTTTATTGTTCACCTCTTCCAACACAGTCTTCCCTTGCCAGCTTCTGCTGAATTAATGATTTTCACTACCCTGGCACCTCCCATCCATCAGCAGGTTTGTAGACTAAATAGGTATTTCTACTCTTATAAAGTAGTTCTTAAAATTTTAACACATGCCCAACTTTAAAAATACTGCTATCCAGGGCCGCCCCAGTGGCCTATGGGTTAGGTCTCAGCACCATTAGTGTAAGGCCTAAGTTCCGTTCCCAGCCAGGGAGGAGACCCACATATGGCACAGCAGACCTCTCCTGTCTCACCCGCTGCTCCCCTGAGCAGTGTATACCAGTAAATCTGTGTTCTGCTCCCTACTCTGTCTCTGGCAAATCCCACACCTCTGGCCTCTACCCTAGTTCTTGTATGCATAATCTTAAAAAAAAATAAAATAAAATAGTGCTATCCCTTTAAAAAAAAAAATAGTGCTGTCCATCTCCTGCACAAGACCCACAGAGGTTAACATACTTTCAACTCTACCTTGAACAGCAATCCCAACTGTTCCCTAATCCCAACCTTCTTTGGCTTTTGATTTTATCTTTAAAAACTGGTTTTCTTAAAGTCAATGGTTAACTAAATGTATGTATTAATTTCAGCCCACAACACTGATTGTTCCATTCCATTTGTCTGTGGGTCCCCTTCTACCTGAAAGGGATTCTTTAGTAGTGTTATTAGTACAGTTCTGGGTAATAAACTCTTTTGGTCCCTGAACAGTTCAAGTGTCTTTATTTTGCATTCAATCTTACATCAAATTTTACCTGAGTATAGAATTCTAATTATTCTCTCTTCTGCACTTTAAGATATGGGTTATTTTATTCTAGCATCTATTTTTGCCACTGAGAATTTTATTGTAAACGTAACTTGTTCCCTGGTAGGTAATCTGCCTTTTCTTTGATAGATTTAAAGATTTGCTCTTCCCGATCTTCAGTTTGACAAACATGTGTCGAGGTATTCACTCACCTGTTTTTAACCTGCTCAGTATTCACAGTATACTTTGGGTCTGAAAACCTAGTCTTACTCGTAAAGATAATTTGGGCAATTTTTCCTCCTCTTCTAATTTACTAACATTCTTTGATAGTGCACAGTTCAGAATTTGTTTTATGTGCTAAACTTCCAATCTTAAGATCTATATTTTTTAAGAACTTTATTTTTCATTTTAAGCTTTATAATTAACTAGTTCTCTTGCATGTCCATGTTTCACTTCTCCCTATTTTTATATCAAATTATTCTTCTTCTTTACAAATATTATTCTTTCAATTACCTTTGAAGATATTAAAAATACTTTTTTTAACTGTTTGGATAAACTTAACTAAATAGCGACCATGACCATGGTGTTTGTCTTCCTCAATATTAAGTTGGTTACTGCATGTGTTTTGGAATTCTGATGCAGGCACATCTAATGTGATTTAATCTACAGGCCATGTGGCTGCTTCCTAGAGTTCTTAGCCTGAAACCAGTGTCCTAGTCGGTAACTCAGCCGCTGCCCGACGTAGATCACACCAAAGACAGCATGGGCAGGGGCTGTCCCCGAGCCAGTATCCGTGGCCCAGAATCCCAATGAGAGGCTGTTTCAGTGTCTCCCCCACACCTCCTAGACTGAGACTTTGAGTCTTTATTAGCACCTTTCTTGTGCTTTTTTCAAACAGACATCTAGTCCAGCCCCCAGCTGCTGCGGGTTGGCGCTGGCGTGCTGTCCTCACTCAGGGCCCCAGGAGCAGGGCACCCACAACAGCTGAGCCCCTCTTGGCTCCTGCCTTCTCTTCAGACCTGAAGCTCAGCAGGGTTGCGGCTTCAGATCCTGCTGTCTGCTTCTGCAGCTTTTTCTGTTTTCCCTTGCAAATAAATAAGCCTTTTAAAAACTCCTTTCTCTGTGTGTCTGCTTTTGGTTTTTGTCCTGAGTTTTTAAGTATGTGGGTGAATCCTCACAACTTGGGTGACCCTCATTGCCCTGTAATAAATCCTCAGTTTGCTACAATGGTTAGATTTGGGTACGGGTATCTACCCGGGTATCTACTATGCATAGAACTAATCAGATGAAATCTTTTATATTTCATTTTTAACAAGCCCTACTGTGTAGTAATCACCACTTTTAAAAAGATGAAAATTTAGCACAAATTTAGCTAGCATGTCTTTAAAATTAACAAAAGTCATCCAAATCTCAATACTTAAACAGACCTAAAAGTTTATTT